CTGGAACTTCTGGGGAAGCACAGTAGTTTAAAAGAGATTTATTTTAGCCTTTCATTTTTAAACACCTATCCTCAAAAGAAAGGTGAAATGCTCATGAAGGGAACACCCAAACCATCGTGGTGGACAAATATTCTGGACATGTTGCTGCTCGGAGCCAGAGGAGACTGTCTACCTAATTGAGGGGGAACAGACACAGTCAGATTATTAAACGGGACTACGTTTGGTTTGTATTAGGGTCATAGAAAATTGTGCTCATAGAAGAAAAACCCACCTGTATTCTGGTAAAAGAAAAAATATTGTTGAATGTAGTAAAACAGAGGCTCTAACTACCAGCTAGAATTTCCTTCTTCCCCTCCTTTCTATGGAGAAAATCCTACAGCTGCCTTTGAGGTCACGGATGAAAACTCAAAACCAGCAGCCCATTTCAAACTTTTACTATAATAGCTCTTAGAACCACATTTTTTATTAGAAAAGTATTTTTAAAATAAAACCAGCTTTTCTGCATGCTACTGCATGTCTCATTCCTTTCCACTTATACATTAGGAATGTCTATAAAATATTGAAATCAGAACAAGAAAACCTAATTCTAATCTTTATTACCAAATCTTGTACTTCCGTGAAATAAAAAAGAGCATACACTTAATTTGCTTTTACAGGTTATTTCTTTTATAAAGTTTAATGATTTGTTTTCATTCTTTAGCTTCCCACCCAAGATCTCCTTTTCTAATGCACTGAAGCTTAATTAATTTGATCATCTAATTTTAATTAGAGTTATACTTTGTGGTTTTAATAAAATCAAGACTTTCCAAAGCAAACCTGCACAAGAGCTTCTCCGTATCTGTAAAACTGAATTGATACAAAGACTTGCCTATTCTGCACGCTCACCTTAACTGCAGGCATTTACACTGGCTATATTCAGAGTATAATCCTCCACTGCTTCCACAGACAGTACTTCAATAAAAGTTTATTTTCTGCAGATCTATTCAACACACTTGCATGCACCCAATCTCAATGTGGTCTCAACACAACTAATTAAGAAAAACTGCTTAGCTTGGTATATTAAAGCCAGACTCGGTATCTATAAAAACAGAATTTTACTGTGATCTGCACATTTTTGCAAGGAAACAGTGCACAACATATTTTTTGCCCTAGTGCTAGATAAATTACACTCGCTTGCAATGCGCCATTACATTTTCTTCTGTGTTTCGCTGCCATCTGCCATCGCCACACCATACGGGTGAGCCGGATGACATAACTCCCCAAGGGTCATGCAATCAAAGACTGGTATAAGCACTGGCAGCGCAGCTACAAAAAGCAGAAATGCAGCTCAAAGTCCAGCAACAATGAAAATACAAGGGGGATTTTCACCTCCATTTCTA